TGTTACGTCTATAATTAGATCAGTCTTTTCGAAGTGCACTTTCTTCCCGCGATAATCATTTCTTCTTTTTCTGAGACTTGCGTTGCAGACTTACCTCTTCAAAAGCGAAAGAATGTAATTAAGAAAATCGTTTCTCATTCGTTCTCAACAAACGGTCGAGGAAAGCCAAGGTTGTCGTTCGAGAGCGCGTGGACGAAATTAATTCGGTAGATACACATGTGAATCTGTCCACACTCGTGGCGATTTATATCGTCATCGTAATTTTTTTATACTTGACTCGCTCGCGGACGTATGCATTCAGTAGCACCGGAATGACGATAATGACGTAAAAAAAAAACCACGTGGCAAACTGACTTACGCGATTCTTCCTCGCATCGTATTATACTTCACGCGTAGCTCTATTTTATACCTTTCGTGCGGATTTCTCGGCATCGCGCCAAATTGAATCTTGGTCAAGTTCTCGGTCCAAGTCGTAGGTAGATTTCGAAATCGCACGGTACGGTTCATTTTCCGAGGTCAGTTTTCCATAAGATAAACAGAACGTAGATAAACTGAAAAATGAGTCAATGCCATTACGAGTTAACATACTGTGAATTTGACCGATCATGTTTCAGTGCTACAGATTGTATTATTTTACGTAAATATATACGAGTATATATATATATATCAAAGTGCAGCAACATAATATGAGCGCTTTAAGTGATAAAATTTGTGTATACTTTCGCTAATATATAATACGATGATATAATTTTTATATTTCTATTAATCAAGATAGTATTATCTCTTTATTGTTATTATGTAACTTCATCTATATAACAGCGTCTATATTTAGATTTCAAATTCCGATTAAACTGACCGACAGAATTACTTAAAGCAAGTTCCTAATTATACAATTCATTGTTTCTGATTAGATGAATTTCAATCTTGATTTAACTTACTTTTTATCTTCTAGTTCTAAAAATTAAAAAAAGATAAAAAATAAACTAAACATAGATTAAAGTTAATCTACATTGTGAAATGAGCCTAATGTCAATTTTTACCAAGATAGATTAACTTTATACAAATTAGATTAAATTTATATAAATTAAAGTTACTTTATATGTAATCAAATTTTATATAAATTAAAATTAATCCCTACATTGATAGGCATTATATGCCCGTTTCTATCAGTGTAGATTAATTTTAATCTTAGTTTAACTTCCTTTTTATCGTTTTTAGTTCTAAGAATTAGAAAAGGATAAAGAATATTAAATAAAATCGAAATTAAAGTTAATCTACATTGGTAGAAATATAACATAACGTCTGTTTCTATCCATATAGATTAACTTTAATCTTGGTTTAACTTACTTTTTATCCTTTTCTAAGAAATTTTTGTCTAGAGATATATAAAGAATATTAGAAAAGGATAAAGAATATTAAACGAAATTGAAGTTATTCTACATTAGTAGAAAAACGGACACAAGTCAATCAAGTTAATCGTTTAGTTAATCGGAGTTTAGTGCATGTGACGCACAGTAGAGAGAGATTATTTTGCCAAATGAAACTGTAAGCCCAGCGATTTCAATTTCGACTAAATTATGAAGGAATAGAGGACGCTTAGGTGTACTCCGAAGAAAAAAAAAAACACGCAGCGCGCAAAAGTCCAACTCGCTCCGTTCAAACATCGTTTTTGCGCAGCTGTACCTTTCGGTACTTTCAACCTTTAATTTGCAACAAGCGCGATGAGTGACAAGAGCCGCAAAAGAAAAAGCGTGGAAAAACGAAATCAGCAGTGAACGCACGTGCGATGACTGACAATGTTCTTTTAGCCATCAGCCGAATCGACCGACCGGACGGTCGTCATCAGAGGACAAAACTGACAGGTCGACCTGGGGACACCCACCTCAACTCGACTGTCGTCCTTTATTTCGTGTTTCGTGTGACAGCGTAAACGTAAAGTGCGTCCTCAATGTTCTTCCGAATGACGAAACTGAACCTGTTCGAGGATATTGTGCGTGTACCGGCAAATGACGCGATGATGGCGACAGTAGCGGCGTCGGTTAGTATCTTCACGAGAGATGCTTTTTTGAGAAGGTAACATCAGCCAGCTCCGACTATAACTGGTGCCCTCCTTCGCCAAGTTTCTAACCGAACGAAGCTAGCCGCTTGAATCGATAATGGCCTTGCACGGCCTGCCAACGGTGAACGGAATAATTTCCTAGGTACTAGTGTCAAATAAGAGGTCTGTTCGCGTTACTTGAATTCAAAAGATTTTGCACTTAAAATGAGATAAAAGATTTGTTCGTGTTGTTTGAAATCTCTAAAATTTTGATACTTAAAACGAGATAAATATGTATTCATTAATGAGAAAGAAAGCGAAGATACTGAGTGTAAAAACTAAAAAGTGTTTAAAGCAATTCGAACAAACCTAAAGACCGCAGCACAAACTTTTGCAAGGAAAGAGAAAAAACATATTATTTTTCAAATTACGGCTAAAATAATTTAAAAAATTGCAATGCGGTTACGATATTCGTCATATCAGGAAAGTCGCATTTTTCAAGAGTGTTTTTTTTTTTTGGAAAAAAAGATAAAATAAAAATTCGTTTTGATACCTTACTGTACCATTTTTACATTTAAGGTGCAGATAATTTTATTTATTATGTTTTAAAAGCCAAATTGTAAGATCCAGCTCTTTAGGAAACTTTACAGCTTCGTAAAATATATAAATCAGAAAAAGTTTCATGGCAAAATATTTCTTCTACAAGCAATAATATACTGTAGAGTGCAAATATGTATCTGCACTGCAAAGTGAGTTTTCTTATTATTCTTGCCGATCCTTAAACTGATCGAAATATGTCATATTTGTGTATGATTATTGATTAGCGAAATTTTATTATTTAAATTAATTATAAATTACATTCATCAATTAAATTATCAAGTGAATTCAATATTTGATTAATTTGAATTATTTCATTCGAATTATTTTGTAGAGACGAGAAATTTAAATTTTACCTATATTCGTTATAAAGTTAGCTCGAAAATTAAAAAATTAAAATCAAGAAATTAAAAGAATACATATTTTGATAATCGTTACCTTTGGTTGGAGTACATTTTCTTATCCAGTGAGAATGACAATGGAATTGATATTGAATCGATGATGTCGATTCGACATCGATTCCCCCAACAAACGAGAGTAGATTGAAATGAATTGAAATGGATTCAGATTTTCAGAAATATTGATTCACGAATGTTAAAATGAATGCTTTTCAATTCTGAATGCATTTTTATTCATTTATAGGAATTGCATGGAGCACATCTTTATGCCTTTCAATTTAAAAATAATATTAGCTTTTTCTGTGCATTGTGAATACTGTTCAAATCAAAATTTTGAATAGGAAATGCAGTTTTTCAATTCAATTGCATTCTATTGAATCTAATCCAATTAAATCCAAAAAAAGTATTCGCTATTTAAAGTACGCATTCGGATAGAAAAAATGGATTTTCAATCCATTTTAATCCATTCTTGTTTACTGGGCCATTGTTATTTCTTACTGGGTTATAATCTGGTAAATTTGAAAATCTTGAAGAACTTATTATAGTATATTAATTCCAATTTTGGCTACTTTTTATCAAACTTAATATATCTTTCTCTTCAATAGATACAATAATAATTCGAAAAATGTGTATTTCAACTCAATAAATGAGAATGGACTGAAATAGAATCAGATTTTTAGAAATATATATTCGTGAACATTAAAATGAATCCTTTTCAATCCGAATGCATTAATTATATTTATGAATTGCATGAAGCACATTTCTATGCCTTAATTTCAATTTAAAAATAATATATGAGTTTTTTCTGTGCCTCATCTAAATACTTCTCAATTCATTCTGAATAGGAAATGCAGTCTTTCAATCCAATTGAATCTCCAGTTGAATTCAATTCAATCCAATTTAATCCAATTGAATTCAAGAAAGTTTTTGTTATTTAAAATACGCATTCAGATAAAATTTTAATTCATTTTAATATTTTTAATCCATTGCTGTTTGTTAAAAAGTCTCGCTGTCTCTTATTAATTGGAATATCTTCACGATAATAACTTTCATAATGATAACATTTTTAATTTCGTTTGTCTGGAACATATTCTCGCGATAAGTATAATTGTTTGAGCATCTTAAAAGATTTATGTTGGAAACCTTGCATAAATCTGTTGTCTAACGAGACTATAAAAAGCTTATTTTACAATGTGCTCTTTGTTTCCTGTTTCTTATTTTTTACCTTTTGCTTTTTTCTCCTTTGCAATCGTTTTATCAACAATTGTATTTGTTGCTACGTATTTCTTGTTTCTTTCGAAGTTCGTTAACTTTTATCTCGGAACGATATAAAACAAAAAAAACCGGATAAGAAGCAAAAAGACAAGATGTAAAAAATAACAAAAAGACATTGTAAAACAGGCTTAAAATTACGTTCTAAACTCAAGTAAAACAAATAACGATAACATTAAAATCATGACATTAAAATGAATCGGAAATGATTGAAAAATGACTTTTAATGATCATTTGGAGTCATTTTGATCATTATGACTCGACATAATGATTTATTATTGTTCCGCTTGCGAAACGTCCTCTTCAAGGAAAATTTTATTTGATAGTCATATTACATATAATATATATATATATATCAAGTAAAATTTTCCTCTAAGAAGACGTTTTGGAATGTTATGATAATCCTTAAAAATAAAAATTGTAAGCTTATGTATTATCAACTCAACTTCTGATAGTTTCTCCTTTTCTCAAACTCCAACATGAAAAAGAAAGAAAGCTGAATGATGAAAAAAGTTGAGCTGAAAAAATAGACTTGTAATATTCTTAATTAAAAATAGTACACGCTTGCGTGCGATGCGTTCCTTCCAAGCGTGTCCAAGTGTTTATCACCGTTCGTCGCGTACGCAAACATACGCACTTTCACAGCATTTGCGCGCATCTCGAGCTCAATGACGGTAAGTCTCGCTTTTTTCGTGTAGGGAGAGAGAAAACGGGAAGTGCCGCGCATGCAGATTACGAATATAAATAAACCGACCGTGCGAATTGGTGGCTTTTCGCAGAGCGAAATCGGGAGCGCCGCGAATCCCACCGCAATCTCTCAACTCCCGAAGCTGGATAGCGAAGTGTCGCGGACACGACGCACGACCGGGTGAAGGTGAAGTACGACGGGGAGATTCGTGTGTGGGGATCCAGTAGGAAATGGCTGCCGTTTTGAGGAGAGAATTTCGTACCGTGACGAGCGTGCTCGCCGGGAACGGGAATCTACCGTTGCTCGCAGCCGTACGGTAAGCACAAGCGAACTCGTGCGGAACATGATCGTCGTTATTATTTTTTTTCAATTTCTTTTTTTCAACTTCTTAGCGCGAGAGTGATCTGTACGTGTGAGTTTGTAACCGTGACGGACCTGCTGCTCGGATTGACTAACAAGTATATTAATTCGTAGGTATCTGACGAGATCGTCGATCCGCTACGACATCAGCGAGGGATGGCTGAGCAAACTCCTGGTGAGGAAGATCGAGCCCACGAAAGAGTCGCACTCGCGAATGCTCTCCGACAAGGAGGTCATTTATGCACTGCACACTCAAAACATACGGCCAGATTCGATTGACAAATACTTGGCCAACTAGTGAGTCAACATCTTTGTGACCTTGCATCCGAGTGCGTGATGGTTCACTGACCTATAAATCCGATGCAATAGGATCGATCTGTTTTCAGCTGCATGCAACGCTTCTAATTTATTTATTATTAGTAGTTTGCTAGCCTTTAAGGCTAATCTAACAGTGTACTCTTTGCTTCATGTTTCTTGATTTTTATCTCTTGCCTTTTAGCTTCTTATCCTGTTTTCTATTATAAGAAACAAAAGTTGAATTTCAAAAAAGACAATTCAGGTAGAATGGTAGAAGACAAAATCGTAATGAGATCAAGATGACATCAAGTTGAAGTAATTTTAGCAAAAAATCATAGTTATGTCTTTCGATATATTTTGACAACGATTTTGTGATGAAATCTTGACACGAGTAATGATTTTTTAAATTGTTTTTAACTAAAAATTATACTTAAAATTATTATCGTATCAAGAATTCATCATAAATCATCACCAAAAGTGTCTTGAATGACATGTTTTTCCTTAAAATGACTTCTACTTGATGTCATTTTGATCTTATGACTTTATATTCTATCTGGAAAGAAACACGTGATGTTGATAAAATAGTTGCAAAGAATGAAAAAGGCAAGAGGTAAAAGCAAAGAACACATTGCCAGAACAGATTAGCCTTTATAGATATTGCAATATATGATCTTCAAAATATAGTTAGAATATCATTTGTACTTGTTTTATACATTTTGTAGATTGTTGTATACCTTTTGTAGGTTAGTAGATTAGTGAAAGATATATATTAATGTTAAACGTGGTAAACTTTAAATAAGTCTGTGATGCTAAATGTTTTCATGTACGTTTCTTATCTTTTTTTTTTATGCCATTCCAGTGAGGAACACGTTAATCTGATACACTCAAAAAAATCTGATTTGAATTGCGAATTAGTGGGTTCGTGGACAGTGGAAGTAGGAGACTTGGATCAAGCCTTACATTTATGGCAGTACACAGGTGGTTACGAACGTATAGATCATACACAAGCTGTGCTCTCTAAAGATGAGGTACAAAATCTTTTGTAATATAAAAGAAAAGATGCCAGAGATCTATTCTTTTCAGCTGAATTTTTTGCATTGCTCATCTCCTTTTCAATGAGAGAAAAAGAAAAAAGATAAATAGTTTAACTGAAAAGAACAGATCAGTTGCAATGAACATTGATGATTAAAACTTAATTTCCACAGTCTTATCAACGATTGCAAACGGAACGTGGGAATTACTTAAGATCACGTCATTTGCAATATTTGTTGGCGTTCAGTTATTGGCCACCGCTGACAAAAAGGAAAGGGCCAAACAAATATGAAATACGTAGTTATAGTTTGACACCAGGCACGATGATAGAATGGGGAAATAATTGGGCTAAAGCTATTAATTATAGACGGAACAATGATGAACCGTTTGCTGGTTACTTTTCGCAAATTGGTAGATTGTACAATGTACATCATATTTGGTGTAAGTGTGAAACCACATATTGTTTATATTACGCTGTTTTATGTGTATTATACTCATTCATCTTCATACATGTCGCATAATTGTTTTTATTTCTCAGGTTACAAGGATCTTCAATCACGTAAAGAAACGCGTGAGAGTGCTTGGAGATCGCCCGGTTGGGACGAGTGTGTCGCTTATACTGTACCTTTAATAAGAGAAATGCACTCGCGCATATTAAACCCAACTTCGTTCTCGCCTACGAAATAAAATTTAAACGGGTGCGAACACAAATGCATTTGTATATTATATCAGTTATTTCTTATAAATATATATATGTATGGATTGTAATATTGTAAAAACATTTGTTACATGTATACACTGTGTAGATTTAAGTTGTATGAACTTTTTACGCGCATGAGAAAAGCTACAAATTTTTGTTGTATTACAACTGGCAGGAATGTAATAGTTACTATTTAATGTTATACACTAGCAAAAGCGACTGTTTATATATATAGATATATATATAGATATATATATATATATATATATATATATGTATAAATATTACATATAAAACATGCCATTTTGTCAAAATGTCAGTTGAATAATAACATATGTATTATATATATATATATATGTCTGTATAGAGAGAGAAAGATATAAAGGAATGATCTTTATATTCTTCCGCATTTTTTCTTCATCTACATTCATCAATTTCAAACTATCCAATAGGAAGACAATAGGACACGTTTTGATTTTACTAACGACTTTCTTATTTGCCTTATTTTTCTATTTTTGCGTATTACAATTGATATATATTACGAAAATGCATAGATAATACAGTATAATAACATAAGTAGAAAAGATGTATGAATTTATAAAAAGCAAATCATATCAGTAAAATCTACATATCATTTAAAAGATCGGCAAGTTGGATTAAAATGCAGTCGTAGTTCTAACATTTCTCATTTTTATTATCTTATTAATATGTATTGTGTATTGGATTAAACAATTTCAACTGTTTAAACCTTAATTTACGATGCATCATTTCTTTCTCCCAATCGATTTAGTTACAAAATACGTGTATATTACTTAAAGTTAAAAACAAAATTAAATATTTGTATAATAATTATTAAGAATGTTTATGACTCGATTCGCATTTCGTATGCATTTTACAATTATTTATTCATTAGAAAGATATTGGTATCTCAATAATAAAATATCTACCTCGATCAAAATTTACATTTAATGTATTAATATAATAATAAAGAAAATAATAATAAACAATAATAAAATAATATTAATAAAATGTAGGGAGAATATATTAGAGTCTATTATACGTTATCTCATGCTACAGATGAGTTGTGTATATGATCATATATTGACTACAAATATTAACTCACCCACTCAGGCAATTACATTCAATTCGATGTAAAACACTTCAGCATTGTCAGAAAATTCTTAATGCAATTATTCTCTTTAATTGCAATTAATAAAAAGTTAACGCGCTTAAAATATAATATTAGTTTTAAAAATTTACGTATATTTTTCAATCTAGACCTATACACATAACAAAATTGAATAAAGAATAAATATTACAGATGGTATTGTTGAAAACTGCCTTAATATGCATATTATGTATATATTATACATGGAATCTCATTCTACCATCGAAATATAGTACAAGCTGATTGGTGTGAGTGTTTTTGTCTAGCAGCAAAATGCAAGAATGAGTTACAATTGAATTATCAATAAAGCTTATAGAAGGTAACATATATTGGGATAAAGGAAATTAGATCCAAATTTCACTAAAACAAATCATTTTCAGATTTGCTAGTGAATAAATCCAACATAAATTTTATACAATTTCGTGCATATATGGATCTCGTTTTCACAATGCTGATGCATTTTTAAAATAATCATCCTTTTTTTGGGAAGGAAGATCGCGCTGTAATATCTTTTCCATAATTATATAATATTAAATTAGAAAAATTATAAGAATCTGTGTAATAATATCGAAAATAGAATGTCAGAAATAAAAAATTACATGTATGTAACATTCACACGTGATCTTAAACAATATCAATAACGTATCTATTTGTCGCTATTTTATAAATACACATACTTTCTTATAATTAGCCTTTGTTTAATCAAATTAACAATAATACAAATAATTATTGAATTTTTATTTGGCTATCTTTAAAAGATATCAATATTTTCATGTTTATAAAACATATCTGTGGGAGATTATTTTGTCTCACAAAATTTTTGTTTAGTAGATCGGTCTGAAGTATTTTCTACTTTCCATGGTATCAATAGTATTTATTTTGCAAATACGACTACGCTTATTCTTATTACTCTGCGTAATTTAAAAAAATAATGTCAAAAATAAAAAAAGAAGTTACGATTTATCTTTAATTAAAACCAGAAATTGTATTGAAGTATATATAGTTACATTCACTTCGGTGTTTTGTCGTGTACAAAAAAAAAAATAACATTCCTATAATTGGCCGATGTGTAAAGAAGACATAATTGATACTGGAATCGTAATTATTACAGCAATCTCAAAAATATTGCGTTTCTATCTGATGACGGGATGTACTGTATCGTAATACAAATCACCAGCATTACAAAAATCACACCTTAAATGGAAGTAAGTGAAGAACGAGCTCGTCAAATAATCACAAGCATAATTTGATACTATGATATTTGATATGCTATGCCTATGATTAATTGTCTAGCTTACCAGTTATCACATTCCAAAGTTAACTGATAAAGTTAGTCATGCGCACGTTTTTTGGAAAATTTTTATAAATCTCTCTCTCTCTCTCTTTCTTTCCGTGTACACACACACACACACACACACACACACACACACACACACACACACACACACGCACGCACGCACGCACGCACGCACGCACGCACGCACGCACGCACGCACGCACACGCACACACATAGACATACTCTCTCTCTTTCACACTAAATACTAGATATCATAATCAAAATTCCATATCGCAATTCTATGTAAAGCGAATAAATATTTACAAAACTCTAGCAACATCGACAATTAATTTCCTAAATTGGGTATTCAGCAAGTTATAGTGATTACACAGACTATAGTCGAGAATAATTCTTTTGTTACATACATACAACTTAACTCAGAGACACAACTCGTGCTATAATTAAAAGTGCATATAAAACTTAACAATTTCCTTTTATATAGAACCTTCCTCGATGAAGGCAGGTTTGAAATCTAAAACTTTAATAATCGTAATTGTTTAATTAATTATTACTTATAATAACAGAAAGACGTATTGTATAACATATTAAATTAGTCTAAACAGTTTTTCTAAACCACACATTTTACGTAATTTAGAATCCGGTTAGCACGAACAATCTCTGTTAGTCTGTTACGTTTCAAATTGATTATAGTAATTGATTTTAAACATCTCTCTCTAATAAGAACCTAAGGAAGAATTTAAATATCCACGTGTGTATCTTCATACACACATGGATGTCATCTTACTGTCTTTTCCATAATGAGTTGTTACATTTCAATTACTATATATAATATACGTCTGTATTTACATATCATAATGGGAAATATTTCGGTTGATTGTGACAGTTTTCCGTATTGTACAGTTTGGAACATATAACCATGATAACAATTGTATTGTTTGTTTTACTACAATCACTCATATCACTATAATTGAACACACTTTTAGATATTCGTTCGATGCATGCTAGTCGCGTATAATTTTCGCGTCAAATTTTATTTTCTCGAAGATTAAAAAAAATACATAATATATATTATATATATATATAATAAAAATTGGAATGTATGTGCTATGTTGCCATTGATAATGCAAATGACAAAATGTTTATTATGTGAATGTCGTTTAAAGCTTTCAATTTTTGTTTAAATGTATAAGTTGTATGGGGGAAGAAAGATTAACGAACTTACGAAATAAAATGCAATATTTTTGGTCATGTCCCGCAATCTGTTTTATAATTACTTATATCTCTTCTAAAACTAAATAAACATTTTTGTTTTAATTTACGTGAAAAATCTCAAGTTGTAAGCGTAAAACAAAATTATAGAACGTTAGTTCTTTTTTTTGTTTTAATGTAATATATACGCATTAATATATAATACAAATATTTGATTGGCTTTCTCAACTACAAGTATTTCAAGTAAGTTTACAAGTATTTCATGGTGACATGTTTTACTGCTCTCCATATGTATCTAAAAATATATATTAAAAAGAAATTAATTGAATCGTAAAAATTTACATTTTTTATGATAACAATAAAATGCTTTATACACAATAAAACTTACTGACATTTCATATTCCAAAAATAAATGGATTGTATGTTTTGCTAAGTATTAACTACATAATATAGTAGCACCCCTGCTTAAAAATGTTATCGTTAATGGAAATATACTTTCTTAATACATACTTCTTGAATTTAATACAAAACGAGATATTTGTTTTTCGTTGATTTTCTAGGAAAATTGTTATATAACAAAACATCGGAAGGAATAACAGTCACAATCATGGATACGGATTTTACATGTACAATGGTTTCGTGACATATAAAATAAAAAATATATGAAAAAATAATAAATAGGAAAACAAAACATGTATATTTTGATGTAAAAGTACAACATTGGGATGTGTACTGGATGAAATTTTGAATGCAGTTATAGTATGACACAATATAAATATAATGAAGCGCGATGAATCAAAAAAGTACACTTCAAACTCTCTATAAGCAATTTGGAGGAACAAACGTTTGTTGAACGTTTATTCTCGTAAAACACAAATAATCGATATAATTGAAATATTATGAAAAGTGAATATTTTGGGGAATTTACATATCAAATTAAGATAAATGTTATGGCTATCAGTATAAACGTGTTGAACATTTAGTTAATGCATCAGTAATATCAATTCGTCTTATATTTAAAGTAATTAATATCTGCATGATTTTATTCCTTTTCATTAAATATCATATTTAACATATAAATACTTTTAACTCCACTAGTTTAATGCTGTATGAATAAAGACATGAAAGTGAAAAGGAAATCATGTGAGACATTAAATAATTAGCTTTATAACTGAAAATAAATTTACTTCATAATAATATAAGAAAATATTTAGATTAATAAAAAAACGTAACATCTTCATTATCAAGAATCTTTCATTATATAAAATGTAAATATTTAAATTTTCTTTCTAAACAATGTAATAATAGATATAAATTAATACATCATATAAATAATTTTTATATATTAATTTTATGTAAATTACATATTTAGGAAATATCCAAGATACAACGTTTTAAAGAATCTTACAAAGCTGCGTTTAGAAATTTCACCTGGGTATATCTAGGTATCGGTTTATCTTTGTTCAATAAACAACAAAGATAAAATGATAATACCCTAAATTCCCGAACGCAGCAGGAAACTTGAAAGGAATTGAAAAGTGAATACCAATTGC